AGGGAGGACTTCAACTCCCAGAATCCCCCAGCCAGCAGGCTTTAAGAGGGGAGGACTTCAACTCCCAGAATCCCTCAGCAAGCATCCTTTACAGGGGGGGAGGGAGGACTTCAACTCCCAGAATCCCCCAGCCAGCAGGCTTTAAGAGGGGAGGACTTCAACTCCCAGAATCCCTCAGAAAACAGGCTTTAAGAGGGGAGGACTTCAACTCCCAGAATCCCTCAGAAAGCAGGCTTTAAGAGGGGAGGACTTCAACTCCCAGAATCCCTCAGAAAGCAGGCTTTAAGAGGGGAGGACTTCAACTCCCAGAATCCCTCAGCCAGTTCTGGGAGTTGAAGTCCACCCCTCTTAAAACTGCCATGGTTGAGAAACACTCCTCTCAATCAAAAGGAAGGCAGGGATTACACCCCCCCACCCCATGAAAGAAATTGCTGACTCAGATGTCTGCTGCTCGCTGTGTCCCAGGCTGTGTAATCCACTTTGAACAAAAGCCACTTAAGCTGAAAGAGGGAGAGAGAGAAAGAGTAAGAAAGAGAGAGAGAAAAAGAGAGAAGGAAAGAGGAGAGATAGAGGGAGGAGAAAGAAAGAGAGAGTAAGTGAGAAATAGGAGAGAAAAAGAAAGAGGAGAGAGAAGTGGGAAGGAAGGAAGGAGGAGGGAGGGAGGGAGGGAGGAAGGAAAGAAGGAAGGAAGAAAGGAAGGAAAGAAAGAAAGGAAAGAAAGAAGGAAGATCTCCCTTTTTGCTCGTCCTAAAATCTACACCTTCTACCAAGATGCCTTAATTCTTTAGCCCAAAGCCTTCCGAACACAACACAACTTGGGAGCCTTTGTGCCCACAAGGCTGTGTATGTGCACGTGGTGTGCGTGTGTGTGTGTGAATCAAACCAGATTCTAATCCCTCCTGCCCTTTCTTCTCTCCTGCAAATTTTGCACTGTTTTTCCCTCCTCCTCTCTCCAGAAAACACACACACACACATTCTTGTGTCTTTTTAGAGAAATCCCCCCCCCCTTAAGCATTGTTTGTCTTCCTACACCCCCCCTTTCTATTTCTACAGCTTGGCAGTGTCCCAAAGAGGTGGGGTGTACAGGAAGTGGAAGGGTGTTCCCTCCCCTTCCCACCTACACACACCCCTGCCAGAGGGGAGGGGCTGGCCGACCAAATCCTCTGCAGGGATTGGGGTGAAAGCAGCACCCTCCTCCCTTCTTTGCCCAATCAGGCAAGCCCATTAAGGCCATAGCCCCTGCTGGAGAGGCTGGGAACCCCCAGAGAAATCCCTCCTCTTCCTCCTCCTTCTCCCCCCCTCCCCTTGCAGGAGCACAGCTGCAAAACCTCCTTCGGTTAACTCTTCAGATGCTGGGGATTAGGCCCGGCCCCGCTAGCCCGAGGTGTTGGCCCAGGCTTTCTCCCCCTGCTAGGCACTCTCTGCCCCCACAGCTCTAGAGGCCTTGGGCACCCAGCTCCTCGCCAAGTTGGTACACGTCAAAAAACAAAACAAAAAAACAACCCCAGACAGTCCCTTCTTTGCCCTACGGGATTCCACCTGCGAGCAAGCATGCACACAAACACATCTCCATGTCAGAGTGTTCAGCTTCCCGGCTGGCTTTTGATTCTGGCCCAGCAGAGGGTGGTGCATTTTTTATAGCTGTTCCCCCCCCCCTCCACATTTCTGGGTGAACTGTTTCCTTATTGCAGCAGGAGGGAAAGGGGGGGGGGGAATCTGTGGCCCCACACTCCTCAAGGGAGGCTCTTCTACCCATCTCAAACCATGCTCCGTGACCCAAAGCCTTCCCTGCAAGGAGGGAGAGAGGAAGGGAAGGAGAAATAGGGAGGGAAGAAGGAAAAAGAGAGGGATGAAGGAAGGAAGGAGGGGGAGGAGAAATAAGAAAGAAGGAAAGAGGGAAGGAGGGAGGGAGGAAAGGAGAAATAGGAAGGGAAGAAGGAAAGAGGGATGTAGGAAGGGAGGAAAGGAAGGAGAAAGGAAGGAAGGCGAGGGAGGGAAGAAAAAATAGGAAAGAGGGAAGGAGAGAAGGATGAAGGAAGGAGGAAAGGAAAGAAGGAAGGAAGGTGAGGGAGGAAAGAAGGGAAAGGAGGAGGAAAGAAGGAAAGGGGATGAAGGGAGGGAGGAAAGGATGAAAGGAAGGAGGAGGAAAGAGGGAAAGGGGATATAGGAAAGGAAGAAAGGAGGAAGAAAAGGATGAAAGGAAGAAGGTAAGAAGGAGAGGGAGTGAGGGAAGAAGGGAAAGAGGGAGGAAAGAGGGAAGGGGAATGAAGGAAGGGAGGAAAGGAGGAAGGAAAGAAAGAAAGGAAAGGGAGGGAAGAAAGAAAGAAGGAAAGGAGAAATAAGGAAGAAGAAAAGAAGGAAGGAGAGGGAGGGAGGGAGGGAAGAAGGGAAAGGAGGAAAGAGGGAAAGGGGATGAAGGAAGGGAGGAAAGGACGAAAGGAAGAAGGAAAGAAGGAGCGGGAGGGAGGGAAGAAGGGAAAGAGGGAGGAAAGAGGGAATGAAGGAAGGGAGGAAAGGAGGAAGAAAGGAAAGGGAGGGAAGAAAGAAAGAAGGAAAGGAGAAATAAGGAAGAAGAAAAGAAGGAAAGGAGAGGGAGGGAGGGAAGAAAGGAACGAAGGAAAGAGGGAAAGGGGATGAAGGAAGGGAGGAAAGGACGAAAGGAAGAAGGAAAGAAGGAGCGGGAGGGAGGGAAGAAGGGAAAGGGAGGAAAGAGGGAAGGGGAATGAAGGAAGGGAGGAAAGGAGGAAGGAAAGAAGGAAGGAGAGAAAAGAAAGAAAGAGGGAAGAAAGAAAGGAGAGGGAAGAAAGAAAGAAAGAAAGAAAGGAAAGTCGAGCCCACCAGGAGCCCCCCTGGGGCCACTCACGAGCGTTGCTGTCAGCCAGGCTGTTGAGGCTGCTGGAGATGTCCCTCCGTCGGAAGAGGCAAACCACTTTCGCCTCCACGTTGCCATTGGCCGTCTGGAGGGGCGAGAAACGCTGCTGGCCGATCAAATGCTCCCGCCTGGAGACCCTTCCCACCCCCTCATCCCCGTTAAGCCCATTCCCAACTCGGACGCAAGAGATTCCGCATCTCCAGGAAAAAGNAGGACCCCTCCTTTCAACCCCAAGTTACAAATACGCTCTTCTATTGGATCCCAGATCTGGCAGGGATCAAAACAAGGGACTGGTGGGAATCCACCCCACAGCCGGATAATTGCAGAAGCCTGGGCAGGAAAAGGGGGGGACGACGCAAGAACTCGAACCCCAAACTCTGGAATAAACAAGAGCCTGCATCTGATACCCAAAACAACCCACAAAGCTCCCATTTTTAATTTTTATTTTTTGCCCTTATTTTTTTCTCCATACCATAGCAGACATTCCTGGGTCTTGGAGTGGGGAGTTTCTCGACACCCCCCCCAAATGCAGTCTTTCTGGAGGGGGGGGGAATCTGACACACACACACGCACACCCATAAACCCCGAGGTGGGGGAATACTCACTAGGTTGGGATATACACTTGCTTCAATTTGCTGTCGGCTTCCGCCGCTTTCAACCGTTTCTGCACCGCCGCCAAAGAAATGAGAGAGAAGAGTCAACGGAACGACGAGCCGAAAAGGGGTCTCGGGGAAAACACATCCCCATCCCTCTCCTCTTCCAGGAAGGAATCGCCCTCTCCCCCCCCCCTCAAAGGAGTAGCAGGAAGACCCTTCCTCACCTGCTGGATGTATCGGTCCGTAGTTTTCCACATGTAGTAGAACTGCACGATGCTAGCCAGGGACTTCCAAGGGAGCTGCAAGAGAGGGGAGGGGGGGTTTAAGAGGAGGGGGAGGAGGAGGAGGAGGAAGGGCTGGGGTTCCCTCCCAGGATTTGACCCAGCTAACAAATCGAAGAGCCCATACGGGCAGTCCTCCCATTATGACCATCATGGAGCCTGTCCGGGACGGTCGTAAAGTGAGCTTTTACTATTTTTGTTTTTGTTCTTTGTGGCAGTCATTAAAGCAAAGACGTTTTGCTAGGGACCCAAAAGTAGGAGGACAGTTACTCACTGACTTACAACCGTTCCGTTTAGTGACCCATAAACAGGACACATTTATGATAGTTGTGGGTCGCAATGCAACTCTGTAACAATCTGGTTTGGCTCTGAAACCCAACAAGGCAGACACAGACTTCAAGGGATAATTAGAACTGCAGAAAAAGACAATGGCTACCAATTTGCCTTCCATTGAGGACCTGCACACTGCAGGAGTCAAAAAGAGGGCCGGGAAAATATCTACAGACCCCTCGCATCCTGGACATAAATTATTTCAAAACGACGCTATAAGGCACTGCACACCAAGACAACTAGACACAAGGACGGTTTTTCCCCAAATGTCATCCCTCTGCTAAACAACCAATTCCCTCAACACTGTCAAATTATCTACTAAGACTGTATTACTATTATTATTATTATTATTATTCTCTTCTTTCCTAGTACTTCTCTCTTCCCAGTAGGTTGGAAGAAGCTGGGACAAAGTAACCGGACAAAATAACAGAAGCTCACTCCGTTACGTGGCACTAGGGATTCGAACAGCTCAGCTGCTGACCTTTCGGATTGACGAGCTCAGCATCTTTAGCCACTTGAGTTTTGAGCTCAATT